AACAAAATTATAAAATTAAACATGTAGGTGACCTATTTATATACTGCTATAAAAGTATTTTTTGAAGAGAAATATGCAATGAAGCTATTGCCTACATGAAATGTATATTTAAAGATTTTTTTTCCTGAGGATCAGGAATATAACAAAGATGTATTTAACTACAAAATACTGTGATCATCAAACAGCACAAACTTTCATTTCATGGTGTTAATTGGTTTAATTTAATTAAACCATAATTTTATCATGTGGGAACATAAGTTATTTGGTCAAAACTTAGACTTATATTTGTCTTTTCTGTCTTAATATATTTCTTTCAAAGTGCTGCCAATTGAAAAGGGAAGCATTATGTTTACAAATCTAATTTTTTTTAATGTTTGCCAAAAATTTTGGTAGTATCTTTAATAAACTTGTCTTCAGCATCAACTCTGTTGTCATGTATTGCTTACTAGAATATAACTTACAATAGAATTTGAGTTAGTGTATTATTTAATCTTACAAAGCAGCACAATTCTAGCCACCGTGTTTCCCCCAAAATAAGCCCTAGCTTGATTTTTGGGGGTGGGTCTAAAATATAAGCCCTACCCAAAAAATAAGCCCTAGGTAAGGCCCCGCCCACTCACCCATCTCTTCCCTTTCACTCTCCTTCTGAGCCAGATTGCTGGTGCTTTCGGCCCCCTGGCCCCCTTTGCAGCTCTGCCCACACAGCCACTGAAGCAGCTGGTGGAGCCCTGGAGGGTTGGAGAGGGTGCTGAAGCGAGCGGGTATCCTGCCTACAGCACCCATGCTGGCTGGTCCTTCCCTGCCAGAGCCAGAATGCCACTGCATTTCAGTAGATGCCGGCCTTCCATCCGGCGGGCCTGGACAACTGCTGGAGAGACAGGCCCGTTTTAGCGCCTGGCCCCCTTGGATTTGCCTTGACACCTGCTTTCCAGCTCCATCACGTTTCTCCACCACCACAGAGATAGCTTGCCCCACCACCACCTAGATGCCCTTGCTCCCCCAAGCATTTCTTCATTAACCTGCTTTTCAGCTCCGTCACATTTCTCCATTGCGTTTCTCTGCCTCTGCGTGCAGGAAAACAAAAGTTTGTGGGACTAAAAAAAAAAAGTTCGATCAGACCTTCTAACTTCTCACAAAAGATCTTGCGAAAGAAGGTCTGATTGAACATTATAATGGCTCACATTTGAGAGGAAGGTAGCAGACTTCATAATATGCCAGTTCTAAGTTTTTACCGAATCCTGCAGTGTGTTGGGTAGGCAGAAGAACGCAAGCACACCCACACAACCATCCAGGCTCCTGGCTCTGCCCAGGGAACACCAATGGAGATTTAGACAGGTATGTCAGGGCATTTTCAGCACAGAATCGTTCTGCAGGTATCTTTCCACTTATGCCATTTCTTGAGGCCTCCCTTCTGGGTAAGATGAGGATTGAAAGCTAAATCTCTGGTATCTTTCACTGGCAAGAAAGTAACATGAGGGAAAACTTGTAGCCCATTACAAACAATTGTATTTTTCTCTAATGAACATCTTGTTAAGAAATCACAATTTTCACAGCACATATTCACAATAGAAAATACAAAATATTTTCTCTCCTTGTTCTTTCAGTACCAGTCCCCAGACAATGTTTGATTTGGGAATAGGTTTGACTTAGGTATCCTTCCCTGATGCACAGTATGATACAGTATGCCAAATTTTTTATATTTTATTTTGTTAAGAAAAACTTTGATATGTAAGCTGCCTAGAATTACCTGGGTGATTGAAATGACATACCAGTTGATACAACTGATAAATGCATTTGTCTATATGATTATGAAAGTATAGGATACCTAAATTAGTAGGATAATAGCACTTTCTGATTATCAGATTGACAGTCTTCCTGTATCAGTATCAGTGTAGAGGTGAACCTATATTTATGACATTTGACTGAATTTTTGTTGAACTCAATCCATGTCAGAAACTCCAAATTAATGTTTTATTTAGGTTAAATTTTCTTGGTAATTTGTCATTTTTTTCTAGTATCATTTGAGTCTTGCTACAGTTATTGCTTTTAAGTTAATAGAATGGTATAAAAACCCAGATTTACTATTAGTTCAACTTCACAGTATTGAAAAAAGTAATTCCTTTTGCAAACATGTCCTGTAAAATTTATTGATAATCTGTTTTCTCATTGGTGGCTTTATTTTTCTCATCCCAACTGCTGGCTTCATTTGTTGTAGCATTCTGATCCCATTAAAGGGAAAACATAGCTTAACATTTTCACAATCATAGCAACTCTTATGATAGGTCACACAGATGTTTATACTGGATTTGGCATTTTTATCCCCCTACTGACTCCTTTCCAAAGACCTGGAATAGGCAAATATTGTTGCTTGATAGTGTGTTAAAGGTATCATCACAAGATTTAAACTGTTCGAAGTAAAGCTGTCTATTGTAATTGACAGATGGTAATTTTGTCAATTACTATTCTGGTGACCAGGCAAATGTACACCACCTGCATATTCCACTTTTAAGACACACATAATGTATTTGAATAATTTTGATTATAGAGATCTCTGCCAACTGTTCCTGTAAGCCCTATAGCCCAGGTGATGGAATCAGGTAACATTCACAAATGGCTTAACTTTTCCTTAAAATGCTTGAAGTGTCACCATCTTACCACATTTTTATTTTTTAATTAATTTGTTTTGTTATGAATCTAATTTTTATAATTTTATCTATTGGTTATTACTTTTTTTCATTTCATAATATAAACTTTGAAAATAATAAAATCTCAGAAAGATACAGCAAAAGAACTGTCCAAAGGACTACCACCACCCCACTGGAACACTGCTTTATATCTAATGTCCTAAAATGCTACTCAAAACGCTTCTAGAGCAGTAGTCAAAATACCCTGAGCCAATGGAGCCAGAATTGAAAATGGCAATCGTGCAGCAATTCATTATACATTTGCTTGGAACATGCTACTTTATTTCATTTAAATGACCAGATCTCAAGTTTTTTAACAATGGTATATATTAAGGCTGTACAGTGTTTTGATTTAATTTAGCTGAGGTATTTTAAAAGACATGGGAGTACAATGGCAATATATACGCAGTCATTGAGGCTGCTACATTTGCTTCTAGCATGCCTGCTATTGAAACCTCCCTACCACAGCTGCATTGTTGTGAAAAAAAGCACAGTGCTTTCATGACTTGCTGACACAAGCCGTGTTTGTTCACCTGCACTTTCAAAACATATCATCCAAATTAAATCTAAAGCATTGCACAGTCCTAGGATACAGAAGGAGAACGTGATTGATCACTAGCTCTTACTTGTCAGATATATTATCTTTGTCTCTTGCTATTTCCATCTCAGGTCCCCAAATCCTAAATGCTGCACAAACAAATTATGATGTTTTATGTATACTGTTATGATAGTACTATGTCTGCTTCATAATGAAAATACCATACTGGGTACTTACCATATGGGAAAGATCAATAATTTAATTACTCATTTTAGTGGTTTATGAGAAAGAATTTTAAAACTCTAGTTAAATTGGACTACCATCCTAATTCATTTATACAATAAGCTTTGAAGTATTGTGGAAATAATATATCTTATTACAAGAGAAAGCAAAAGAAATTTCATAACAAGGTAACTTTCCTGTGCTGTCCCCGTCCTCTAGATTCCCCTAAATAACAACTCAGCAGAACAGAAAACCACATTATGAACTCAGTGAAGAGATACATCACATTGTTTAACTCAGAGTTGCTCTTTTCTGCTTTGGTCTGATCACAACTAGAATATTACATCCACATCTAGGCACTGTATTTTAGAAAGGATATTGACAAATTGGAGCATCTCCAGAAGAAAGAACCAAGATAATCAGAGGTTTAGAAGGAAACTATGAGTTTAGCCTGAAGAAAAGAAGACCACAGGGAGACATGATTATCTGTCTCCATAAATCCAAAGGATTTCCATATTATAGACAGGACAGACTTGCTCTGCATTGTTCCAGGAATTTAGACAAGAAAAAAATGGTTTTAAATTATAAGGCAGGAGATTTTGAGGGACATCAGAAAGAGTTTCCAACCATAACAGCTATTTAACAGTGGAGCAGACTGTCTCATGAAGTGGTTGACTTTCTTGTGCTGAAAATACTTAAACTAAGACTGGATAGCCAATGACAGTGATTTTTCATGATCTCCAAGATGCTTTCCAAGCCTTGCATTCTAGAATTCTCTGAGCACAAGATAAGATATAATTCCTTTAGAGAATTACAGTCAAGAGCTATACTTATATCCCCACACATTCCAAAATATTTTTAGAAACACATTCTAAAGTGTTCTATATTATTACAAAGTATTATCAAAGTTTTAACAGAATTAAATGAACTTTGCAATTTAAAGCAACTTAAGGTAAAACTGTCATAGAAATCGCACCAATATTTGAATGCCTATTTCCCACATACAGCTAATGATGACCAGAATTAACTGCAGAAACAGAGCTATCCAAGAATGATAGTCTTCTCCTGAGGAGACTATTTTACAGCAGAGGACTATTCCCAATGTGCTTTTCCAAGCAATGTGACTTGACACTTATTTACTACCTGCCCTTTGCTCTGAATTCAGCAGCACCATTGCTTCCTCAGTTGTGGAGGCTACAGTATATTATGT